CCTCGTGATCCTCCCGTCTTGGCCTCCCAAAGTGCTGGGATTACAGGCTTGAGCCACCGCACCCGGCCATGATTCAGTTTTAAAGTAGGCAAAAATATTTGAATAGATAGTTCTCCAGAGAAGATATACAAATGGCCGCTAAGCACATGAAAAGATGCTGAACATCATTAGTAATCAGAAAAATGCAAATAAAAATCACAATAAGATACAACTTCATACCAAGATGACTAAAATAAAAACAGACAATAACAAATATTGGTGGAGAATATGGAGAAAGTAGAACTCTCATATTTGCAAGTGGACATGTGAAATTGTAAAGCCACTTTGGAAAACAGTTTGGCAGTTAATAATGGAGTTACCAAATATTTCAGCTCATTTCACTCTTAGCTAGAGAACTGAAAACATATGTCCACACTAAAACTTGTACATGGAGGATCACAGCGTTATTTATAATAGCCCAGAGTGAAAACAACCTAAATGTCCATTGACTGATTAAAGGATACCTAAAATGTGATGTATCCATACAATAGAATACTACTCAGCCATAAAAGGGAATTAAGTTCTTATATGTGCTATAACATGGATGAACCTTGAAAACATGTTGAGTGTAAAAAAAAAAGACATAGAGGCCTATTGTATGTTTTCATTTATACGAAATGTGTAGATTAGGCAAATCCACAGAGGTAGTAGTGGTTTTCAGGGACTGTGGGGAAGAGGAAATGGAAATTGCTGTTAATGGATATGGGTGTTCTAGGCCGGGCGCGGTGGCTCAAGCCTGTAATCCCAGCACTTTGGGAGGCCGAGACAGGCGGATCACGAGGTCAGGAGATCAAGACCATTCTGGCTAACACGGTGAAACCCTGTCTCTACTAAAAAATACAAAAAACTAGCTGGGCGTGATGGCGGGCGCCTGTAGTCCCGGCTTCTCGGGAGGCTGAGGCAGGAGAATGGCGGGAACCCGGGAGGCGGAGCTTGCAGTGAGCTGAGATCCGGCCACTGCGCTCCAGCCTGGGCGACAGAGACAGACTCCGTCTCAAAAAAAAAAAAAAAAAAAAAAAAAAAAAAAAAGGGTGTGGGTGTTCTTTCTGGTATGATGAAAATTCTGGGTTTAGGTAGCAGTGACGGTTGCACAACTTTGAGAATATACTTAAAACCACTGAATTTTGCGTTCAAAAAAAGAATTGATGAAATAAAATGTTTTGTTAATCTTAAATTTTGCTGTAGAGATCCTGATGCAGTAGATTGGAATGAGGCCCAGAATCTGGAATTTTACTAAAAACTCCAGATTATTTTGAAGGACTTGGTATATTGAGCCACAATTTAAGAAACAATATGTTGAGGTGATTTTTTTTTCTAAATTTAAACATCTATCTTTGAAAATCTGAAAAATCTAGTTCCATTTTTAAAAATTGCCTTCATGTCTTGTCACCAAGATTTTACAGTTCAAGTCTTAGATAGCATTCCCTGCTAATAAAAAGTTGTTTTATTTAATTTAAACTAAAATAGATCCACAGTTGGACCCCTATATTTGTGAATTCTTCATCCATGGATTTACAAAAGTTTGGATTAAAAATATTTTAAAATCACAATTTAAAATGACAATACAAATTATACAATAAAAACATGAAAACAATTTATATTAGCATTCACATTGTATTAGCTATTATAAGTAATCTAAACATCATTAAAGTATATGGGAGGCTGTGAGGAGGTTACATGCAAGTACCACACCATTTTATATAAGGGACTTAAGCTTTTGTAGGTTTTGGTATTTGAGGGAGTCCTGCAACCAATCCTCCATGAATATCAAGGGACGACTATACTGAAATCTTAACATAAAATATCTTGACTTACACAATTTATTTTGTTTTCAACCACAAGACATTATTCCTTAAATTCTCTATTAAAGGAGAAAAACCTTTCTTTATCTGAGCCTGGCCTTCCTAACATTTCAGAGAACATCACTTGTGGGCTGCTGTGACTCTACCACTCACAGGATTTCAGTTAGGGCTACAACACCTTCGTGATAAGTTAGGGTCTGTTGCATATTTCTGGGTAGACAACCAGGACCCAGTTATTTATAAATTTTAATTAATTAATCTTAAAAACTGGAAAGTGAAACAAAAATAAATTAACAATGATCAAAGTTATTCAAAAAATTCCTGGTAACCAGAGCTAGATAGATATATAGTAATGGCATTCTCATACTTACTGTTAGCAATTCTTTGAATTTAAAATAGTGAAATGCAAAGTTACCACTGCTTATCTTAAGAGACCTTGATAAAAAAATCCTAAAGTCAAACATTAGCTGTTGTGTACTAATTCATTTTTATGAGTACTCTTTTTTTAAAAATATTTTATTTCCATAGGTTTTTGAGGAACAGGTGGTATTTGGTTACATATGTAAGTTCTTTAGTGGTAAGTTGTGAGATTCTGGTGCACCCATCACCCAATCAGTATACACTGAATCCAATTTGTAGCCTTTTATCCCTCACTCCCTTCCCATCACTCCCTCTGAGCCCCCAAAGTCCACTGTATCATTTCTATGCCTTTGCATCCTCATAGCTTAGCTCCCACCTACGAGTGAGAACATACGATGTTTGATTTTCCATTCCTGAATTACTTTCCTTAGAATAATAGTCTCCAATCACATCCAGGTTGCTGTGAATGCCATTAATTCATTCCTTTTTATATGTGTATGTATACGTGTGTGTGTATATATATATATTCTCACATTTTTCTTAATCACTCATTGATTGATGGGCATTTGGGCTAGTTCTGTATTATAGCAGTGGATTGTGCTGCTATAAACATGCATATGCAAGTATCTTTTTTGACTTCTTTTCCTCTGGATAGATACCCCAGTAGTGGGATTGTTGGATCAAATGGTAGTTCTACTTTAGTTTTTTAAGGAATCTCCACACTGTTTTCCATAGTGGTTGTACTAGTTAACATTCCCACCAGCAGTGTAGTTCCCTGTTCACCGCATGCATGTCAACATCTGTTATTTTTTGATTTTTTGATTATGGCCATTCTTGCAGGAATAAGATGTTATCACATTGTGGTTTTGATTTACATTTCCCTGATCATTAGTGATGCTGAGTATTTTTTCATACGTTTGTTGGCCATTTGTATATCTTCATTTGCGAATTATCTGTTCATGTCCTTAGCCCACTTTTTGATGGGATTGTTTGTATTTTCTTGCTAATTTGTTTGAGTTCCTTGTAGATTCTGGATATTAGTCCTTTATCAGATATATCAATTGTGAAGATTTTCTCCCACTCTGGATTATCCGTTTACTCTGCTGACTGTTCTTTTTGCTGTGCAAAAGCTCTTTAGTTTAATTAAGTCCTACCTATTTATCATTGTTTTTGTTGCATTTGCTTTTAGGTTCTTGGTCATGAAGTCTTTGCCTAAACCAATATCTAGAAAGGTTTTTCTGATATTATCTTCTAGAATTTTTATAGTTTCAGGTCTTAGATTTAAGTCCTTGATCCATTTTTAGTTGATTTTTGTATAAGGTGAGAGATGAGGATCCAGTTTTGTTCTCATACATGTGGCTTGCCAATTATCCCAGCACCATTTATTGAATAGGATGTCCTTTCCCCACTTTGTGTTTTGTTTGCTTTGTCAAAGATCAGTTGGCTGTATTTGGGTTTATTTTTGGGTTCCCTTTTCTGTTCCATTGGTCTATGTGCCTATTTTTGTACCACTACCATCTTGTTTTGGTGACTATGGCCTTATAATATCATTTGAAATGATATGTGATACCTCCAGATTTGTTCTTTTCACTTAGTTTTGTTTTGACTATGCAGGCTCTTTTTTAGTTGCATATGAATTTTAGGATTGTTTTTCTAGTTCTGTGAAGAATGGTGATAGTATTTTGATGGGAATTGCATTGAATATGTAGACTGTGCTCTTAAAGCGTGATAAAATGCTATATCCATTTAAGGAAATCTAGGTTCCTTGGCAGATTTATAATGACAAAAATAATTCATCAGATCTCTGATTGAAGGTGGAATGGGGAGAAATGGTAGAGGGATAAGTGCTGTGGGCTGGATGTTTATATCCCCCCCAAATTCACATATTGAAGCCCCATTTCCCAATGTGATGTTACTTGGAAGTGGGGCCTTTCAGAGAAAATTAAATCAAAAGGGTGGAGCCCTCATAATGGCACTCATGCCCTGTAAGACGAGACGTGAGAGGGATTCTCTCTTTCCCTCTCTCTCTCTCTGTCTTCCCCTTCACTCTGTGAGCATATAGCAAGGAGGTGAACATCTGCAAACCAGGAAAGGCTCTCACCAGGTTTGACCATGCTAACATTTGTCTTTGAACTTCCCAACCTCCAGAACTGTAAGAAAGAAATGTTTGTTGTTTGTCACTCAGTTTGTGGTATTTTGTTATAGCAGCCCAACTGCTAAGAAAATAACCTTAAGAAATTGAATCTAAAAGAGGTCAGGATTGGGAACCAGTCTGAGAACTCGATGATGAAGATATGTACAAGTGATTGGATCAAGGCAGCCTAAAATATTCATTAAAAGCACCCCTTTGAAATAAAGTAGATATTATTTATGTAACCATAAACAATAACAATAGACATAATAACAAAAATTTGCAGGAGTAATTATATGTAGTAATTATACGTTAGTAATTAATCCCAACCTCATTAGGTAAGTTTATTATCTCCAAGGAGGAACCTAATTTATTAAGAAGCTAACATGTTGGTCTTCTAATGTTTCAAAACTTATTTTTGTACCATTGAAATGGGAATAATTATCTTATAAGGTTTAAAAGGATTAAATGAATTAATATGTAAATAAGTCTCCCTAATACATCGTTGGGTCATATGCAACAATGATCTGCATAAAGTGCAAATCAAAAATGGAACAAGTTGTTACATATTTAAGTGGATGTCGTGTGATCTATTTCATCTCATGTAAAAAGTTATGTTAACTTACAGTGTTAATAATGTGTAACACTTTGAATTCTTTTGAACACAGGACCCCCTGGAACAGCTGTCCCTCCACCTGCAGGCTACCCAGGAGGCTTGCCTATGGGATACTACAGTCCACAGCAACCCAGTACCTTCCCTTTGTACCAGCCAGTTGGTGGTACCCATCCTGTCCAGTATCAGCCTGGCAAATATCCTGTGCCAAATCAGCCTGTTCCAATAACATGGATGCCAGGGCCAACTCCTATGGCAAACTGTCCTCCTGGTCTGGAATACTTAGTTCAGGTACTCCATGAAAACACAGATTATTTTCTTATGAAATGTGACCATAGGGACCCAATAAAAAGAGAAAAAAAGCAGAACAGAGTGAATAAAGGTAGATGGGTCAGTGACGACAGATGCCATTTGTGAAACTATAAGAATAGTGATACCAGTTTCAGAAATGTGAAAAGGAAGTAGCAAGTACAAGGATGTTTATAGTGGGATGAGTATATTTTCATAAGGATTTATGTTGAGCTTCAAGGCATACAAGATGTTTTCTTGAAAGAAGTGTACAAGTAGGAATCGAAAAACTATCATAGAGGATAGTTGTGTTATTTGCTTAGAAGTAAAGAGTTAATATCAATAAAAGCAGCACAAAAGAGAACAAAACACAACACAGTGGGTAAATTACTGAGTGCCTTAGCCCATTGCTTTTTACTACCACCCATTATTTTCATTAGCTACTCTTGCCACCCCCAAAAACATACAATATAAATAAAAATAATGAACCCTACAAAGAATATTTCTTCAGGCCAAGTTCCAGAGACCCCCTTCGTATAACACAGTAACTCCCTAATTAACCTCTATATAGATATTCTGCTGCCACCAGGGCATCCAGATCAAAAACTGGGTAATATGCAAAGTTTGTGTACAATTAGTTTTGTTTAAGAACCCATGTCTGAAACTAAAAAACCTGCTTAATGAAAATAAGATAAAGCTGGCAGAGTAGTTGCCTTTTATTTGTGGCGTTGATTCCTATGGTTTCAGTTACCCATGGTCAACCAGGTTCCAAAAATACTAAATGGAAAATTCCAGAAATAGACCATTCATAAATTTTAAATTTATTCTGAGTAGCATGATGAAATCTTGCACAGTCCCTCTCTGTTCTGACTGGCACATGTATCATTCCTTTGTCCAGTGTATCCATGCTGTACATGTTACTTGTAGTATACAGACCCAGAGTCACGTAGTAGCCATCTTGGTTATCAGACTGACTGACAGCATCATGGTGCTTGCATTGAAGTAACTTATTTTACTTAATTATGTCTCCAAAACACAAGAGTAGGAATGCTGGGAATTTGGATATGCCAAGGAAAGACCAAAGAGAGGCCATAAGGTCTTCCTTTCCATGTAAAGGTGAAGGTTTTTTACTTAATAATAAAAAAATTCCTATGCTAAGGTTACTAAGATCTACAGTAAAATTAATATGTCCATGAAATTCTAAAGAAGGAAAGAAAAATTTGTGCATAGTATATACAGGATTTGGTACAATCTGTGATTTCAGGTATCCACTGGGGGCTTGGAAAGTATCCCCTGAGGATAAGAGGGAGACTACTTTATTGGAGATCCTATAGAACCTTCTGAATCTTTTTTGTTGTTGTTTTTAGAGAAAGGAGTGCTGAAATACATTATAAAGAAGAAACTTCCCAATTCAATACTTACCTCCCCAGGTCAACAGTCAAGTATTTCCTGGAGATATGTCATTTCTCTTTTCAATTCCGTATATTGACAGGGACCCTGATAATCTTATGTGCTGAAAACTATTTGTATAATAGTATAGCATTGGTGTATAGAAGTCAATATAATTAGATCAGGAAAATTTGGATTTTACAAAAGCCAAAATTTATCCTAAATTATTATTTGGACAAAATATTGACAAAATGTAAAGCCACTCATTCAGGAGAAGTGCTTAACATCAACATTATTTCAGAAGATAATAAAATGTTTGTAGCTTATCAAGTTTAGAAAGTCTCACTTTCATACTTTGTGATAAATACAGCAGTTGTTCTTGGGAATCTAACATCTTCTACAGTCAGTTCTCTTTTCAAATTGTATAGCATTGTTTTTTTAAATATTAAAAACCTGTTTCTTAATTTCTTTTATGATTCTTACAGAGGTTAATTTAACATATTTTATGAATTGTCCCTTTTAGGAATGTTTAGAGTTAAAGAAATAAGTGAAAAAATAAACAAAACACAGGTTTGGACCCAGACAAACCAGATTTTTAATTCTGTCCTACTCTCTAGTAATGCTAAAACCTTGATAAACTTTTCTGACCTCTTGCTGCTTGAATTTTGTTGTCTATAAAATAGTATTATCAACACCTACCTTATCAGATTGTTAAAGAGAATTTTTAATGAGATAAGGGTCACAATGTGCCTAATATTTTTTGAACATATAGGGCTGTCCCAATGTATGAAAGCTGTGTGGCTGTTATTAGCTTAAATACCTTCTTATGGGTGAATGCAAGACATAGAGCCAATCTTTTTCTGCTATATACCCTAGTCTTTTTGAGCTCTTACATGAAGATTACATGAATCTTTATCAAGGTTACCAAGAGTCCTAAAACATCCAAATTAGCACGATTATATTATTTCCAGAGTCTTGGCTTTGCCAGTGACTTTACCAATTTGTCAAAGAACTGCCCTTTAACAGACACGTATTATTGAGTTCCAGGGAGGGACGTAATAATATTGAAATTAGGCCAGTTAATAACGCTGTGATGGCCTCTGAGTGTTCAAGTGAAAGAAACAATTTCACATCTCACTGTAAATAAAAAAGCTGGAAATGATTTGGCTTCATGAGGAAGGCATGTTGAAAGGTGAGATAGGCTAAATGCTAGTCTTCTAGCACCAGTTAGCCAAGCTGTGAATGCAAAGGAAAAGTTCTTGAAGGAAATTGAAAGTGATATTACTCCAATGAACATATGAATGGTGAAAAGTAAAAGAGCCTAATTGCTGATATGGAGAAAGTTTTAGTGGTTTAGAAAGAAGATCAAACCAGTCACACTTCCTTAAGCCAAAGCATAATTCAGAGCAAAGCCCTATCTCTTAAATTCTATGTAGGCTGAGAAAGGTGAGGAAACTACAGAAAAAAAGTTTGAAGCTAGCAGAGGTTGGCTCACAAGGCTTAAGGGAAAAAAAAAAAGGCACTTTTGTAACATAAAAGTGCAAGGTGAAGCAGCAAGTCCTGATGTAGAAGCAGCAGTAAGGTTTTCAGAAGATCCTAGCTATAATAAGATCACTGATGAAGGTGACTATACTAAACAACAGATTTTGAAAGTAGATGCAGCAGCTTCTGTTGGAAGAAGATGCCATCTAGGACTTTCATAGCTAAAAAGTAGGAGTCAACACCTGATGTCAAAACCTCAAAGGACAGACTGACTCCCTTGATAGGGTCTCTTGCAAAACACTACTACTCACTGACAACACATCTGGTTACCGGAGAGCTCTGATGGAGGTGTATAAGGAGATTAATGTTGTTTTAATGCCTGCTAACACAACATCCATTCTGCAGCCCATGAATCAAAGTGTAATTTCGATTTACAAGTCTTAATGTTTAAAAAATGAATTTCATTAGGCTATAGTTGTCATAGATGGTGTCATTTCTCAGATGGATCTGGGCAAAATAAATTGAAAACCATGTGGAAAAGATGGTCACCATTCTAGATGCCAGTATGGACATTCACGATTCATGGGAAGAGGTCAAAATATCAGTATTGACAGGTGTTTGGGAGAAGTTGATTGCCACTTTTATGGATGATTTTGAAGGGTTCAAGATTTCAGTGGAGGAAGTAATTTCAGATATGGTGGAAACGGCAAGAGAACTAGAATTCGAAGTGGAACCTGCAGATGTGACTGAATTGCCGCAACTCATGATACAACTTTAACAGATGAGCAGTTGCTTCTTATGTATAAGCAAAGAAACTGCTTCCCTGAGATGGAATTTACTCCTGGTGAGAATTCTGTGAACATTGTTGAAATGAGAAAGGTTTTAGAATATTACACAAATATAATTGATAAAGTAGTGGCAGATTTTAAGTGGATTGACTCCAATTTTGAAGGAAGTTCTACTGTGGTAAAATACTATTAAAGAAAATCACATGCTACAGGGAAATCTTTCATGCAGAGAAGAGTCAGTCAATTGATATGGCAAACTTCATTATCTTTTGTTAAGAAATTGCTACCGCCAACCTGGGCTTCAGCCGTCACCACCCTGACCAGTTAGCAGTCATTAACATAGAAACAAGACCCTCTACCAGCAAGAGGATTGTGACTAGCTGAAGTCTCAGATGATTGTTAGTAGTTTTTAGCAATAAACTTTTTTAAAAATTAAAGTATGTACTACTGTTAGAATTAATACTCTTACGCACACTGTAGACTACAGTATAGTGGAAACCTAATTTTATATTCAGTAAGGAAATAAAACATTCAAGTGACTCACTTTCTTACAATAATTGCTTTATTGCATTGGTCTGGAACTAAACTTGTACTGTCTCCAGAGTATTCCTGTAGTTTATATTTTTACTTTTCACTTCTAGATTTTAATATCCTAGATTTCTAAAATGAACTATAAACCATTTTAGTAGCCACTTTTGGTATTTTTATGGGGCATGTTTAGGTCTCCTTATGTAATTGTGTTTTTATAAAAGAAAAAGGTTTTAATTAAGCATGGATTGTGCCCTTTGTACACTCCTGTAATTAATTACACCATAAAACAGTCATGTTTAGGTACGTTATTTTAATTTCATGTGTTACTGCATTTGCATATTATTCATTAATTAATGTATTTAACCAATGTTTGGTGAAATATGGCACTTCAAGCAGTGTTCTGAGCTCAGGAATTAGGAATGGTCTAATGGTCTAAATGATGTAAAATTATACAAATATAATCAGGGTGTCCTCAGGAAGGTTTATTCTCTTCTGCTAGAATGTTCTCACATGTAACAGATAATGTGCCCATCAAACTACTCATCTTTAGAATGATTCCTAAGATAGAAATTTCTGAAATGGTATATACCTAGCCATCCTTTTCATGGGTTGCCATCCAAGAATGTTTCCTTTCTCTTCCCCTAATCCTATTCACATGCTTCCTGGCGTCATAGACCCTTCCCTTATTAAAGTGTGCACTTGGGGAAGACCCTGGTATTTGTAGATCAAGTGAATGCGAGTCAGTGTATAAACCTCTGCTGGAAGTACCTGTAAAATAATATAAAATGGGACACTTCATGTGAGGTTCATCCTGGCTTGTTTGTTCTCCTTAAGCCACTGAGAGACTTCCCTTCTCTCTGGCTGGTCCATGTTAATCGTTCTGAACTTAACTAAACAACTGCAGGCTATGGATGATATGTGGAGAGACCAGTGAGTAGGGACTTATCTAGGAACAATCTGTAAGTACAGCTTCTTCTGATGTGATTACTACAGCAAGTAGATGTTTTGTTTTTCTGATATAGCAGACAACTTTTTTAAAGTGGTACTGAAAGAAAGTGTTTTTCTAATATGGACAGCTCTGCTAATATCCATCTGATCAGATGCAGATAAGCTGATTTTCAGTTGGTGAAATGTTTTTGATTCTATTGACTTTCAAAAATATATTTTGGTATCAATTGATGCATTTTAATATCTATTTCATCAGTTTATTTTACAAGGTTATTTTAATTCTGTTATTTCTGCCTTCTAATTGCTTTGTTTTATTCCAACAGTTGGACAACATACATGTTCTTCAGCATTTTGAGCCTCTGGAAAGTATGTATAATTTTTGTAGTGCTCAGCAGTATTTTAATCAGATGGAAATTTGCATTATCCAATATCTAGTTCCTTCTTTATATTGATCATGTTTCAGTGTTTCAAAGAAAAAAAAACTGCTCTATTATCCTATCTTCAAGAAAGTAATAAAGTGAATTATTTTGTATAATTGTATCCTTCTATACATCATATAATCATAAGCTCTTAGATTTGAAAAGGGCTTACGTTTTATCTGGTCAATTGCCCTACACTTTACTCATTGTTCCTACTCCACATTTACCATTCAATGATGAGTAAAAGAAGGAGCCAAGAGACTACATGAGTTAGCCAGGGACACCACAGTCAGCTAATCACCTCCAGAGCAGGAAATAGTATTTAAACCACAGTCAGCTAATCAGTGGCAAAGCTGGAAATAGAATCCAAATTCGCTGAATCGTAGTCCAGTGCCCTTGCTTTGGAAGTACGAATAAAAGATCTGTCAAAATGATGCCTATTCTCAGTTCATTCTACAGGATTACGGACCCTCACTAAACCAGCTATGCACATTCATTTGGCCACCACATAGGGCCTTTGACTTTTCTTGGTTTGTTTTCGTGTTTGTAATTAGTGATGACCCTGCTCCTCAAAGCATGTTTTATGAACTGATTAATTAATGGTCAAATGTATAATTTCTTTTTAATGGTTTTATAATTCAAGTTTTCTGAATTCAGATACTCTAGGAATTGAAACAAAAGGGTTGTTTCAATCTTTTCTTTTATGTAGAAATTTTGTTAATGTTTACACTGAACTTCTTAAAAGAAATGTTTTCAATTTTCACAATTGCTTAAATACTTTTAGATAATATGATTTTTGGGGTACTCTAATCAATTCTACATATTTCACCTGAAACTTTAAAAAAGCTATGTTGCTTTAAGCCCTTAAGAAATACTAAACAAGGATTTTCTGAGGCCTATTTTAAATGTTTCTAATTTAAGATGACTTTCTCATTTTATTTTTTAGTGATGACACGTTTTGAAACTAATAATAGATATGATATTAAAAACAACTCAGACCAGATGGTTTACATTGTAACCGAAGACACAGATGACTTTACCAGGAATGCCTATCGGACACTAAGGCCCTTTGTCCTCCGGGTCACTGATTGTATGGGCCGAGAAATCATGACAATGCAGAGACCCTTCAGATGCACCTGCTGTTGCTTCTGTTGCCCCTCTGCCAGACAAGAGGTCAGAGAATGGAAGTCTGATTCACAGTTTGCTTCTGATCCAACTCTTCATGGCACAGTATGCTCCTTCCACTACACAGGGAGGACTTTCCCTGACCCTGCCAGCCAGAATAGAAGAAGATAGTTGGGAGGGAGAAAACCAAATTGTCTCACTTAAGGAAAATCATAGAGGATTGTTTCTTTTTGTTACTACTTTTTAGTGCTTAAATAAGTGGGTCAAGCACAATTGGCATTGTGTAGTCAATAATTATGATTCCATCAGTTGCATCTACTTAATTAGAAATTTACCTACCACATTTATCTAAATGTACCTACCTATCACCAGATAAACTAATGCTAAATATAAACATATGCTTTTAGAATTGGAAGGGACTTAAATACATTTAGAGTACCCATCACAACCCATACCTTGCCACAGATAAAGAGTGGCTCAAAATTACTAAATGGCTGAGGTGTTACACTTGGCTAAGGACGGGGCGGGAACTAGAATACAGATGTGCTGAGTTACAGTGTGGTTACTCATTATCTGTGCATTTCTAAGAAAGTTATTTGCTGTAGGGAAAAGAAAAGCAGTTTTGGAGAGAAACCAAATGGAGTCTGAATTCTAGATATGTCAGCTACTTAAATCTGTAAAATTTAATTAACCTGTTTGAGCCTTAGTGTTCTTATACATAAACTGGATAGTACAGTACATCATAGGATAACAGGAATACTTACATGATCTGTTAAGTAACATCGTTTACTAAATATTAATTTTTTACAACTCTCTCTGGGCCTTATTTACCTGTAAAATAGAAATATTAATAATACTTATCAGGTAGGATGATCATTTTAGGGATGAAGTCAATTCCTCGGCACAGTTCCTAGCGAATAGTATAGTACTCAATGAATATTTTCTGTGATTTTCAGATATCTTACTCCTTTGTTATTATCATCTTTGTGATAACAACCTTATATCTGAAGTGAATACCTATTATCCTTGATCCTTTTGGATATAGTAGGCATTTATCTTTGTATTTATGAGTTAGATTTTTTAAATCAAAGCCTATAGATACAGCCTTCTGAGATTATAGGAAGCCGGAATAAAGGAAAGCAAATCAAAATTACATCTGGGCAGGATGGTTTACACCTATAATTCCAACACTTTGAGAGGCTGAGGGGGGAGGATCCCTTGAGGCCAGGAGGTTGAGATCAGCCTGGGCAACATAGTAAAACCCCATCTCTACAAAAATAAAAAATAAAAAAACATTGGCCAGGCTGGTGATGTGTGTCTGTGGTCCCAGTTACTTGGGTGACTAAGGTAGGAGGATCACTTGAGCCCAGGATGTTGAGGCTGCAGTGACCTATGATTGCACCACTTCACTTCAGCCTGGGTGACAGAGAAAGACCCTTACTCCTAAAAAAATTACAAGCCTAGTCCCATTTGTGACACTTTTGTCTCATAACTTTACCCAGGATTTTTCTTCAGATTTATCCAGTTTTACTTGTATTAATTTGTGTGTGTGTGTGTGTGTACATTTAGTTTATGCAGTTTTATCATTTGTGTAGATTCCTGTTTCCATCAGCACAATGCAAATACCAAACAGTTCCATCATCACTAAAATCTTCTTTTGTCACCACATCCACCTTCCTCCCTCCTCTTTGTCCCTAACCCTTAATAACCACTAATCTGTTCTCTATATTTATAATCTTGTCATTTCGAGAATGTTAATTAAACAGAATAATATAGTATGTAACTTTCCAGGATTGATCTTTTTCACCCACAGTAATTACCTGGAGATTGAAACAAGCTGTTATTACTAGTTCATTCCTTTTTATGGCTGAGTAGTATACCATGGTATGCATTTTTAAGGAATTTATTTTTGTACATTTTGATTTTTATCTCATAGGTTTAAACTTATATGAGATAGTTCTATGTTGGTCTCAAATTTATGTATTTGTATATAGGTATGAATTTATCCATATGAACAATAATACCTTAATTGAACAATTTATGAATCTGTGCAGTCCTATTCCATGTCCTGGGTAATCCTTTCCCCAAATTCTTATGAAAGTCCATGTAACACCAGAGAAATAGTCAGTAAAACTTTAACTTTGGGCTTTGACCAAATAATTTAATCTTTATGATCCATTATTATTAAACAGGAAGATCTTAATTCTTCACAAAATAATATTATTGAAGATAAATAGCTAAAAACAGGATAGTGGACAATATTTTAAAACTTAAAAAATGGCTTTATAAACGCATACACACATTTTGTTGTTTTCACAATATGTAATTTTCAAAATGCTTCTTTTGTCTTTTGTTTTCTGTTGTAATTTTCATGTCTGAGATTTGATTTTACCCAATTTCAAATCTAAAAAGTCAGCTTGTTACTGTTTCATAGACTGAGTCAGAAGAAATGAGACTGCTAGGAAGGAGACAGAGAACCCTTTTACAGCACAGCAAGCAGCATAAGTGTTTAGGGTCCCCTCATCTCCAAGTTCTGAGGCTGATTTGGAGAAGCCCATTGCTTCCTCATTGTAAGCCTTTTATTTTTGAGTTATCCCGAGAAAATTGTTCTTTCTGATGGAGAAGCAGTGTAGTGTAGTATAAAGAATAAACTTTGAAACCAAGCCAACTTATCACTGTGCCACTTAGTAGTTACATGTTTTAGAAAGTGTTTAACACTTGCAAGCCTCAGTTTCCTCTTCTGTAAAATGGAGATTAAAATACTTATATTTTTCAGGGTTATGAATATTAGCTGTTTATGCAGCTTGCCAAACACTGAGCTTAGACAACTGTCCATTATATAACAAGCTATAATTAAGCCTGCTGTTTGTCCCAGAGGCAAACATGACCTCATCCATTAAAGCTTTCGCTGACATACAACCCGAAGAATGGCCTGGGTAAAATGGAAGGCTGTCACTCCCATCAATAATTTACCTGGTCTTTGAATGAGTGAGGACACATCTAAGTTGTGTATGTGCGTATGTGTATGTGTATGTGTGTGCATGTAGCATCCTAACTTCTGTCACTGTTTTATTTGCAGCTGGAGGTGCAGTGTCCTCCTGGCATCACCATTGGCTTTGTTGCGGAACACTGGAACCTGTGCAGGGCTGTGTACAGTATCCAAAATGAGAAGAAAGAAAATGTGATGAGAGTTCGTGGGCCATGCTCAACTTATGGCTGTGGTTCAGATTCTGTTTTTGAGGTGAAACTATGTAAAAATAGTGTTTCTGATATTTTTCCTACCCATATTAACAGACTGTGGAAAGATCTGGTTGTAGACAATTTTTTTTTAATGTGAATGAGTAACATGGTGTGAGGAAAGAGTTAATTAACCAGTTGACATCCAAAGATTTTAAAATTATTGTTAGTGGATTGTTTGAGGTTTTCCAAAATGAGAGCTTTTTTTATGACTTCAGTGCTTGATAAAAATAAAAGGAAATCATTTAAAACATTAAATATTCTGAGAGCAAATAGCTTGACCTAATTCATTTATTCTATTCTCGGCTCTATGTAATTAAACATTTTTTCCCGTAGATTTCTAGGCTGGGAATATAGGCTGTAAGTCATGCAGGTGCCCAACATGTCACAGAACATACCAAGTACTCCTAAGGCTGTGGAAATACTTATTTGCAGGATACGGGTCTGTCAGCATCCTCAAGAAATCGGATAACACTAACAACATGGATAAAACTTACAATAGTTATAACATTTTTTCAATAAAAAGAAAAATTATTTTATTTTGCCTTTATCTCACTGGCTACAAAATGTTGGTTCATTACCCTACAAGTCTGACAAAGGAAATTCCTAGAAATATTTCCTAGGCTTCTTAAAGAATGTTTTTTGAATGCCTTGCAATTAGGCAAAACTCATCATCTTCAAAACTGGTTGTTCCTATGTTTCCTATGACACTCAAGAAACTTTCCTTAGTTCTTATTTTCTATCACTATATCATTAAGTATTGCTTATGTATTAAAAGAGCAATGTAGATAAGCCAAATTGCTAGGGCAGGGTATGTGTGATCACTCCTGTTACCAAGTGACATTAGAAGTTAGTATTTGGATATTTTCCCTGTGACCAGTGCCAGGTTTCCCCTTTTAGAAACTGAAGCTCTTTGGTATCTGGCCATATATTAAGAAGACAAGGTATATTTGGCTCACAAAAACTTAAGTGATGTGAAGTGCACAGTACTTTTTTCCTGGTTTTTGCTCATAGGTTTCCCTAGATTGGAAGTGATTCTCTCTCAGTTCCTACCCTTTGCTATATTGAGAATAATTTCATAATCAGTTCAAATCATACCTCTTCTTAAAAAGTCTCTTAGTAATTCATTTGAAGATGAAGAAAGAGCAGCAGTTTGAGACTTTTAAGATATACCCCAGCTCAGTTATTAACCAGTTGCAAGGCACTTAACTCTTTTTGGCCATTATTTTCTCATTTCAAATTATATAATTACATAGTCTTTTTCTGCATTGTATTTATGTTATCTCCTATGTTATCTGACAACATAAATACAATGATATGCAGAACATTAAAACCTGTGCTTCAATGCGTTTCAGTCATCATAAAGGCACATTCTTGTCATTCCAGGTCAAATCCCTTGATGGTGTATCCAACATCGGCAGTATTATCCGGAAGTGGAATGGTTTGTTGTCAGCGATGGCAGATGCTGACCATTTTGACATTCACTTCCCACTAGATCTGGATGTGAAGATGAAAGCCATGATTTTTGGAGCTTGCTTCCTCATTGTAAGCCTTCTATTTTTTAGTTATCCTGAGAGAATTGTTCTTTCTGATGGAGAAGAAGCAGTGTAGTGTAGTATAAAGAATAAGCCTTGAAACCATGCCAACTTATCGCTGTGCCACTTATTAGTTGCATGTTTTAGAAAGTGTTTACACTTGCAAGCCTCAGTTTCCTCTTCTATAAAATGGAGATTAAAATACTTACAATTTTCAGGGTTATGAATAGTAGCTATCATGAGTAAAATGACCAGGAGAGTACTTGGATAACACTAGGTATCCAATGGGTATAATTTTCATCATTGCATGTTATTTGTCATTCTCACTACTTAAAAATGCCTAGCCTATGATTTCTTAATGAAATAACTCTAAAGAAGATGTCTCATATCTCCTTCCTTTCTGCCTGTCAGGGTTCTCCTTGGGGTTGTCCAATCCTTAGATTATGAAGTTTTTCCTCTTTTTAATGATGAGATTCAGTTAATTGGCACTTAAAATGGAAAACTAACAGTTCCAAATCTGTAACTGCTGTTCTTCAGAGTAGGTCCTCTTCATAAATATTTCCCTAAATTGATTTAACTGGAATGGGGGAATCCGCTAATAAATTACAAAGGCTAATACTGCATGCATTATACCTAATTGTCTATATATCTACATATAATTCTTTTTCCAATTTCAGGACTTCATGTATTTTGAAAGATCTCCACCACAACGTTCAAGATAGAGAGATACAGCAAAGCCATCAACTATGGTTAATTTTGAAAAATTGAAAAGTTGGATTGGGCTTACAGTTAATACTCAGTTATTTGCAAATGTATTTCTTTGCTTTGTAGAGTATTTTTATTGGGTGTTAACTTTGACAGCTGAGAGTGTGCTTGCAAGAACACAATCTAAAAGTGTGTTTCAGTTGAGTGTCTCTGTAGTAGAATAGGAGTTCATCCTAAAAAGCTGTGACTAATTAACCCAGTAAACATATACAAAGTAAGCCTAAAACACTATAAACATGAGATAAGGGAAAATGAATCCAGAGTTCTCATATTAATAGATAGTGAAATAATAAGGCTTTTTGGAGAAAACTTTGTTGGGATAAAACAACCTGGCTCTGTCCCTAACCCTTTCCTACCTTCCCTCTCTGTCAACATGTCCTCCTACTGAAGACAAACTTGTTTCAATGATAGTCTTCATCTTTAAAAACAAAAAGACAAGCAGACAGAAATAATGATGTTTTCTTGTACTAAGAAGGTACTACTTATACACATGTATCAAGACCTCTTTCTGCAAAGTTTTTGAAGGTTTCAGTGGGAAATTTGATTTTATTACAAAATAAAACATTTCATTAATGTTAAGGTTTATATATTCCACACCTGTTTTCTCATTTACTGGCAGGATGATCAGGAGCTGCCTATGTATGAAGGCAGAATCAGACTATCAGGAAAGGAGCTGGCCAGGGCCACAGCCAATCAAGATCTCTGAGCAACTTAGAGACTTTGGTGTTATTATATGAAGCTTGCATTTAATACTTTATACATAATACATTTGTAAATTCATAACCTCTCTTGGTCACAGACGCCTTATATATAAAATAAGTTCCCAAATCTCTAAGATTGCCTGGTATACCTTTTTATCTCATTTGATGTGATACCTAGAAGAGATCATTTTTTTTTTTTTTCCAAGAAGATACTTGGTGATTGCCATGCTGTTCTCATGGTAAGAACTGGAGTTACAATTTTAAATTTGGAAATATGATATTTTATGTAGCACTTTATAAAAAGTGAAAGCGACAAAGTCCACTGCTGCTTAATACTGCTTTACTTCTTTTTATTGCCATGATAGATAAATATGTATATACACAGAGTAATAATAATAAAACACAGCAAACATTCTATTTCTTCATGGTCTACAGCATGCCATAAATAATATGTAGGACCAATAATAAGTTATCAGTTACACATTTCTGTGTTAACTAATTAAAAGCGTAGTGTATAAGTGAGTACACTTTAATTAACTTGCTTCTGTTGCACTTTAGTTTTCTACCTGCATACGGACTGCATTTTTTCAACACAGTCAGTGTATAGAATGGGATGTATTCTACTGCTGCTGCTTATTAAATAAAGCCTGAGTGTTCTTAGATGGGGTTATTCCGAGATGAGGGTCTTAGCCTACAGTTCTTTTTGAAATGAAAGAAAGGTGCTTGGTTTTTTAATTATATTCATTTTTCAGGGTAAATTTGTTTTGCTGAGTTTCTTGTAATGCTCATTTTTACATGCTGCTACTAGCTTTTTTTAAAAAAAAGTAAAAGTTGCTGCTTTCTAAAATATTAATTGCCTTATATTTGAAAGTGCCATTGTAATCGTAAGTAGACTATGTATTTCCTATAATGATGTCTGATATTTAAATAGGAAATCAGACAAACAATATTCACAAAGTTTAACCATATAAACTTTTTATTTTTAACTTGCCTGAATCCCTATATTCCAAAACCTGCTGCATCATAATAAATACATCTATATATATTTAGCATAAGATGTGATATTTTAAATTTCTTTTTGAAAAAATTATATTTTTGTCTCTTAGAGTTAAAATTTTCTTTCTTTATAAAATATTGTCATATGTCATAGTTTTAATACAATTCACATAATTTCTATATTTCTTAATGATATTGTGTAAAATTGATCAGGTTGATTAAAAAAATTCTCTGGAATTTGTGCTTTCATGCTTTTTCATATTGTTTGTGGCTTTTAAATAAATATACAATGCTTCATAGTAAAACACTGTTTTATTTTTTGACTTTAAATCTTCACATACTTTTTTCACATGGATTTGAAGTAATTTTTATTGATTATTAGGTTTATTCAAGGCCTTTGCTTTCTAATATAAATGTAATATTATTAAAATCATTTCTGTAGTGTTGCTTAGTAGTAACTAGCTTTCTTATATGACCAAGTTATTTGTAAATGCTTATTTCTAATCCTCCTAAGATGCATTTAAATTTCAAGTGTGATTTCAATGTCAGTATATCATGAAGAAAAGTTACTAGAATTTGTAACCGTCAGTGAAGGATGCATTTTAAAACATTTTTTCTAAATGACCAGATTTTCCAGAAATTATACAAAGATCAGGTTATAAGACGTATTTAATAGCCTACTTTTGTGAGCAACTAGATATTAAATCAAATTCAGGTATAGAATAAGCAGAGTGATTCTAGAGTATGGTATATTGCTCCTGTTGGAGCAGCTGGCTATTTTTCAGTCTTTTTTTCCCCCAATGTTCAAGGTTAGATTTAATTTATATTGAAAGAAGCAAGCTTGGAAACCCATAAGAAGTCTGGATTTAATAAACTAATATCAAATTCAGCTGTTTGGCTAGTGATAGCTAATGTTAAAAATGGATCTTTTTCCATAACTTCACAGAATGCATTTCCCATTTTCTTCTAGGGCTCTTAAATTGTAAATCTCAAAAAAGAGAAAAGCAGAGTGATACACTCCAAAGTAGTCAAAGTAAGGCAGAATAATATACTATGTGATAACATTTGGCATGGTTAATAATAGCACATGGTAGGTATTTACTCAGTGTCTGCTAAATGAATAAAAATATAGTAAGTTGATATATATTTGAAATATTTGCTATAGTTGTCAGTAAAACTTTTTGTTATCCTTTCCACTATTTCATTCCATCAATACTTTACTGAACATTTACTAAATTCTGACACTGAGCTATTTCTTAAGGCAGAGAGAAATACAAAAGTTAAAATATGTAATTACTACTCTCGGGCTCACGGGCTAGTGGACAAGATAGACTTTAAACTTTTCTCTTTTTTTTTTTTTTTAGACGAAGTCTTGCTCTTGTCCCCCAGGCTGGAGTGCAATGGTATGATCTCAGTTCACTGCAACCTCTGCTTCCCGGGTTCAAGCGATTCTCCTGCCTCAGCCTCCCGAGTAGCTGGGATTACAGGGGCCCACCATCACGCCTGGCTAATTTTTGTATTTTTAGTACAGATGGGATTTCACCATGTTGGCCAGGCTGGTCTTGAACTCCTGACTTCAGGTGATCCGCCCGATTTGGCCTCCAAAAGTGCTGAGATTACAGGCATGAGCCACCACGCCAAGCCGAGAAAGATTTTTAAGCAAACAAAACACACATTTTTGAGGACAACCATGAACACATGCTCAGTGGAATGTTGGCACACTCAATAAAGGCCATGTCATTAGCACCATCTCAAGTGCTGCATAATATATTTTTGTCCCAATTAATGAAACAGTTAAGGCAGGCTGTTTGTGTCATATGCCCAGAGAAACTTCCTGTTCCTGCTGGAGGTAAGTAAGATGCACTTTATAGCTATATCTGCAAGCCGAACGCATGGTGGGTGTAACTGAAAATGTCAGTTTTTCTAATTTCATCAGGCAAAGTAGGGATTGATTGTTTATTATGGTAAACTGTGAGTACAGGACAGTGTCTGGTATATCTAAGATGCTCAATAAATATTGGTGAATGAATGAAAATTTCAAATATGTGTATGACACGGTGCTAGGTGTTTGAGAAGATAGAAAGGAACATATAGTCTATCCCTCAGCAAGGATAAAGCAAGTAGATAAATAATTGTAGCACAAAGCTAAGTAATTATTACATAAAATAAATACAGTGGTTTTTCTTTTATGTGTATTACTGGATTCTCGCAACTATATCATGAGGTAAACATCCATCTCACTTTTCAGAGGAAGAGCAAACCTCATCAACAGGTGATAGTACCAAGAAGATAGAAGTGCTATAAGGAGTCCCTGCTGTAATTGTAATGAAGGAAAACCAAAGGGTTGGATAAAAGGTGAGATACATGAAAGCTCCTAGAGCTAGAGGAGCTGCTTCCACCTAGAGGTGGAACTTAGTTAATGCAAGAATTTGTAGAGCTGCCCAGTCTCAAGGTTCCAACCAGAAATCTGATGAGGCCAATTTTCCTAATCCTGTGTCCCAGCTGCCCAGAGTAGGTTCGTGGTGAATGTTCACTAGTGTGTGTAATGAGGGTGGGGAAGGTGCTAGAGCTGGGGAGATGGTGATGCCTTTGCACATAATATCTAAACAAAAAAATAAATTGCAAATTCTAAAAACATGTGCTGCCATTAGCTGGCTTAATAGTTGCCCATTACATTTCTTGCTGTTCTTACTTGTACTGCTCCTCAGCAAAGAAGCCAGTTGTGAAATCATGTAATTTGGGAATATGTAACTGCTATCTTTACCCAAAGATTGAATTCTAGGCCAGACGTTGGATATGCATCTGGGGCACATATGGAGAAAAAACAACCTATTTATGAGATAGGTGGGATGATGCAACTACCTATAATAACTAGTGAAAATGACGAAGACTATAAAACCAGCCAGCTCTATTTAATGCTTCCTATAAGCCAGACACTGTTCCAGTTCTAAAGACTTTCCATATATTAACCCATTTAATTCTCATAACCCTATGAGATACATTACTATAATGATTCCCATTTTACAAAATAGAAAATGAAGATTTAGGTATCTTGCACAAAGCCACTCACCTAGCTGTATATCCACAAAACTGTTATTTGACTGCCCAGAGCACTGAGAAGCAAAAAGAATAAAGCTGGAGGCATTACATTACCTGACTTCAAATTATATTAGAAAGCTGTAGTAACCAAAACAGCATAATACTGGTATAAATATCCAGAGGCTACACTCCAAATTTTTATGCCCTGTTTTTCTTTCATCTCTGTAATCTTTTATTTCTTGTCTGATAACCCAGAAATACAGGGAAACAGAAATGAGGAGAAAGGTGGCATGCTACTTCATGTGTTTTAAAATTTAGGACTGTGCCCGGGAAACCTAAGAGACTCAGAAGTCTTGTCTGAGGGTAGTTCTCTCCAGAGAGGCTTACCTTTGCTCCTACTGGTGCCTCAGTGGTGTTACCAGCTGATGACCATTTTTTGTATTATTTCTTCCGTTTGATGTTTCCCAAGTCATGTATATATTTCAAATATGAACCCCTAAATGATGTGGACAAATCCTGGTTTATGAATTCTCAGGGAACAGATTTTTCCCTACCTGTAGTAGAGGTCAAAGCAATCAAGTTTTCTCTTAATTTCTATTTACCAATTTTTCCATTTCACTTTTTACACTGGAGTGTGTCCCTTTGAGACTTTCCACTTTACTGGGGGTCTCTCTTCTAATACCAACCCTTGCCTAAGCCCAAGACCTCACTTCCAGCCTCATGGTGGTGGATAAAATCAAAGTCCCTTGCTAACAAACATTGGTGACTGCTTCCATTTGAGAAGCCAAAGTAAACGTCAGACTAAGCTTAAGTAAGAAATTCCCAATTATTCTTTATTTTTGACTTCTGCTAAACTCTTGTACTCTCCCAAAATCTACACTTTGCATCTAAATGCCCTTTGGTTATATTTCAGCCCAAATTCAGGTGTTCTATGGAAAGAGGGTTTTAAGATTATCTAGTCTGCAACATTGCTAGCAATGTGAGTGACCTATTTTTTTTAAACTGCATATGATGTTTACAGTGAAATATTCAGAGGAAAGTTCTTTAACACAAAATCGTATAATATGGAAACTTGCAACTTATTATTATTTGTTATACCTAACTTACAGCTAAATCTTTATTCTTCTCTTCGAGTAGAATTATCTATCATCATATTATTGAGTTCCAGGTTCTCTTAAAATGTTTAATATTTCTAGTACTACTGTTAAGTAAAAGACATTAATTTAAAATTGTGTCAGCTCTTCTATGACCCAGGCTTAGGCAAATTTATTTTAGGAAATTATAGGAGCAATCTTTTCCTTAAACAGTTTTGAAAACATGATGCTCAAATTGCCTTAGCTAACAATCACGAAACATAATTTACATGAGTTTTAACTTTTTTCATTATGACAGATAAAAGATAATATAGTTAGAAATCAGACCATTTTAAAACCTCTTGATTTTACAGAAATAAACGAGTAGAGAGTGCTAGAGAGAAGCAAGTAGAGTGACAAAATATTTATTTGGCTTTGCTACTCCTCGCTCCATATCAGAAAGCTGAATAAAACAAGCTACAATAGGGGGCAGCACCAGCTCGTGGATTTTTTTGTTAAACTATGCTCATTTTTTAATCCAAGAATTTATCAGTACCGATCTATAAATTTTAATGAATAGAATCAGTGAATTTTAAAATCAGAAGTAGTATTAAGGACCATCTGCTCTACATTCTAATATACAAGTAAAGGAAGTGGGAGAGGCCCTGGTTACGTGTCTAAAATTACATTGAGAATTAACTAGCAATCAAACCAGAACTAAAAATACAGATCGCCATTTTTATTCCAGTTTCCGTGCCGCCAGAGCAAAAATTTAGCAGAGATTTAAAACATTTTAAAGCAACATCTTTCATAACATTGAGATTTTAAGCATGAAAAAATTAAAACCCAGTTTCAAATTATTCTAATGTTCAAAATCTTTTTTAAGCACATACTCATGGTGTCTACCTCCATAAATCATTTTAATTTCAGAGGTTTTCTAACTATAAAGGAGAAACGAAATTACTATGTTATAAAAACAGCAACAAAACATTTAAAATGTGTGTGTCCCAGGTAACATAATTTTTTATTTATTCCTCCACTCATACACTGATAAACCTTTCTCTTCTTCCGTAGTCACCACACACATCTGAGTTCAATTTCTTTATTCAAATATGTGTTTTTAAA